TATCTATTTCAGTTAATGTTAATGATTGCGTTGTTCCTTAATCTTCGAATTGGATCCCGCTTATTATTTTTTGCAGACTGTAAGAGCAATTTTATAAAAGTAAACTTGAACTTTCGATTATGTCAAATAGAATTTCCGATGCTGGAACTTCCAAAGGATCTACAAAACGAAAGTTTGTTTCGATGTCCAACAAACAAAAAGTGGAATTACTGCAAAAAATGGATAAAGACATAAAAATGTGACAGAGAGGTTAGTGAAAACGAAAAAAATTCGATTGACAAGTTAGTCGGTATTCTCGGCACAGCAATTAACGAGACTTGAACAGCGGAACTTTGTAACTGAACAAGAAATTATGTCTTTTTATAGAATTAAAGAGAAAGTATTATCACATAAAATGAAGCAACTTAAACAACTTACATTGAGAGAAATATTTAATAAAGTAAACAAATAAATATTAAGCTTTTTTTTTTTTTTGGTAAATTTTGATACCGCTTTAGATCATAAATGTTCTTTATTTCATAAATTACGGTTTCATATTTTTAATTTTAGAATTTCTGCATGCCATCTTGCGAGATTTAAACTGATGATCTATAATCCGGAAAAATCGATAATCCGGAATCGCCGAAGTCCCGACGAGTCCGGATTAACGACTTTTGACTGTATTTCATCTCGATGTACTCCGTCTTTGATATAATTTAAATCAAATTCCTCATTATTATAAATATCACGAATACACATCAAATAGTTTTCTGGTTGCAATTTTCTAATTTCCACTATGCGCGCGTTGAAAGAAATGTTTAATAAAGTAAACAAATAAAAATTAAGTGGTTTTTTTTTTTTTTTTTTTTTTTTTTGTAAATTTTGATACTCTTTAGATCATAATTGCTCTTTATTTCATAAATTACAGTTTCATATTTTTAATTTTATAATTTCAGCATGCCATCTTACCAGATTTAAATTGATGATCTATAATTCAGAAAAACCGATAATCCGGAATCGCCGAAGTCCCGATGAGTCCGGATTAAAAACTTTTGACTGTATTAATAATTATATTTTTGATCAAAAACTGACTGGATAAGCAAACTTTATGAAGCAAGTGAAGTAAAGGATTAAAACTTTTGCTGAGTTGGATGACAGGATTTGGAATGAGGTTGGAAGCAAACTGTGAAAGGTTTATAATACACAGTAACACTGAAATTACACAGATTCTTTACACAGATATTGTTGAATGCTGATGAACTGGTGGGAATTACTGACAGAAGAATAGAATTTATTGAATTCAGGACTTATTGGATTTTAGTTAAATGTGCTTTATTGCCATTAAGTAGAGCAAATATATCATCAATACAAAACAGCTAAACTGAAAAATTATTATTTTCAACTTAATACTTTTTTCATTCTTGCCACATCATAAAAATTTAGCAGTTTGCTATTTTATCCTTTGATTACTTACAAAATCATGTTTTTTACCTAAATTTAATTTTCATGTAATTTTTCACTTTCTAAATAATTCATAATTTTTCTTTAAAGATCCTATACAAAATATAAATTCCAAACATATATTTCTTGCCAGTATGCTACAATATGGTTTCTTGCTAGTATGGCCAAACAAGATGAGTTCTGAAATATTATACCAAAGAATATGCAGCATTTTTGGAATTGAAGGGAATTATAGTCCTGTCAGTTGGGAAACCATACTTTCCCCTTCTCTGCAACAAAAATTTATTAAATAACATTTTCAGTTAGCAAAGAGAATTTAATTTTCGTTTCAGTAAATCATCCTATTTCTAATCTTACCTACCATTAGCCTCTAAACTTCATTTTTAAAGGCTTGTTATTTAATTTTCTTTAAAAAGATAACCCAAAAATATATTTTCATCACATCCGGCCAGAAATTTTCTGAAATTTCTTTTGTGTTCACCCATAAGCATAAGTTTCTCTGGCTTTCATTTTCACATTTATAGTTCAAGATTTTGTTTGATGTTTGAAATTATGTCACATATTTCACTCATTTTAAGCCAATTTCTCTTTCCTTTGGCATTTAATTTATTTGTTTTCTTGTTTTCCCCTTAGCATTATTATCCCAGCATAGTGTCACCAAATTAATGGTAAATAATATTAGAATATCGATGATATTTTTTTATCCAAAATACTCAGCTAAAAAAAGTGCTAACAACTTCATATATTTTCAGAAGGATCTCATAAAGTGAAAGAGTTGTACATTTTGTAAGCTAAGCCAAAAATGCATTAGTACAATTTAAATTAGCTATATTAATTTTAATTTAGGTACTTTCCTTCTCCATGGAAAAAATAGTAATATCTTTTCCTGCACTGCATCATTTCAAGAGTAATCCATGTCATACTACTTTTACATAACACTGGTGACGTAGATGGAACTAAAACTTAAACAACCAATAATAATTTATTTTCCAGCATTATGAATTATATAATCAAATGCATTGAACACTGAAACTAACTCATTCTGAATTAAGATTTTATCCTGAATGCAAGAGACTTTCTTTCTGTACTTCAGCCTAGATAGACTGCTGCTTGCTGTATCTCTTTTATTCCATACAGCTATTCAAAATGTAAATGTTCTTGAAAAGGCACAAGTAGTGGGCCAATTTGTTTGTGGCCACAAATGTTTACCGAACAGCCTCAGCTGCCAAGTTTACTCTTCATTATGGATTAACATTCTACATATCTATGCTATCAATGTTTCTACATCATCACACACACACACACACACACACACACACACACACATATATATATATATATATATATATAAGATTTAACGAAAGTTTCCCCACCACCACAAAACAAACGTCTGCACAAACAGTTCGTGTTGCCATGTTTAATCATATTTTGCCAAACAATTTTTGGTATTTGAAAGAAAGAGACCCGCTTCAGAACACTATGTTGTGAAATTTGTAAAAAAAATATCGTTATCATGAACTACTAGGTTTCTAAAATGGAAATATTACACTATCAGATTAGAACCATCATTTACTTCCTGTTCTGTTGCAAAAAATCAACTACAGAATGTCACCAAATCATGTCTACAGCTTAAAGCAATATGTTGTATCATAGGACACTGTGAAGGTTTGGTAATGAAAATTCAAACACAAGGACTATACCATTCAGGAAGCAGGAAGAAGAGTGCTTTGGCCGGCCTACTGATGTTAATGAGGCTCGCTAGCAAGAACTTGTGGAAGATCAGTATGCAACCACTCAAGAGCTTGCTAAAGAGTTAGGCATTGGTGCTATGTCGATTAGTTGCACTATGCACCACATAAACTTGACGTACAAGTTCAGTTGCTGAGTCCTGCATGAGCTGACTCAAGCAGATAAGGACAGATGTGTTCGGGCTTGCACTAATCTGCTCGAATATCAATGCAAGGACAAAATTCTGGAATGGATTGTCACTTGTGAGGAAAGGTGGATTTACTTAAATAACACAAGCTGAAAAGAGGGTTGGTCTGCACCCGGTGAGAGCCTATCGCCAGTGCTGCAAACCACAGTTTGACTAACATGATGACATGGCAACACAAAAACATCAGACTTTTGTATCTGGTTAGATTGCTGCATTATTATTCACAAAGTGTATCTCGAAAAAGGTAAAACCCTTGATAGTAACGTGTACAGAGAGATGCTCTGTGTCGACATTGTTATCAAAGAAAAATGTCGAACTTGATTTTGGCGCAAAAAGGCAATTTCCATTAAGATAATGCAAGGTAACATATGTCTGTATCACCGGCTAGACTCTGTACAAAGTCGAATGTATCTTTTTCCACACCCACCGTATAGCCCCAACATTGCTTCTTTGGACTTCTACCTTTTTTCACACCTGCAGCTACATTTTGCAGGTGCTATATTTCATACTCCACAGGACATCCAAAATTAGGTTGATCTGTTTTTGGACTCACAGCCACCAAGTTTCTGGGCTAAAGACTTAGAAAAACTACCAAAACATTGGCAGAAAATTATAGATTTGGGTGGTGATTACTACCCGCACAAAAGGTACTACTTTCAGGTCCCCCCTAACTTTATTATAAACACTTTTTGCCGAAAACTGTCATTACAACCAGATATGTGTGTGGGGGAATGTGTCCCATCCTTGGCAAAAGATGACGTTGGAGTCATTGGTTTAGATGCTGTGACAGTGTGCTGAGTGAGACAGAATACAGTACCAGAAAGACACTATGCTCATAAGGAAGCTAAATCCTTGGCGATTCAGAGAAGGCCTCAGAATTATGTGGTTTCAACAGTAATTCAAACAAGCAGTGATAGTTTAAATGCCATGACAAGGTGAAATATTTTATTGACTTTGTGTATGGAGGCAATGGTTTTCACGAACATGTCTTCCACATATGTTCTATATATCTTAACCACCCTATTGTAAATAAGAAGTAATCATTATGTGCGTCCAGAAAGCTGGAATTCTTATATAAGAAGAAATTTGGGTGGCTCAGCCCGGATTAGTGTGACGGAAGATATAAAGGCATGTGAAAAAATTTATTTTTATGATTAATTGTTGTGTCGATCTAGTTAATTAAATATATTTGCCAAAATGTGGAAGGATGGTTTATTAAAAATGTGTGAGGAGATAGGCCTTGTCATGCCTACTAATCCAAAAGTAATATAGCTGTGGACAGAGTGCAGAGTGAAAGAGAATGCCGTACCAGAAGAACACTGCGCTCATGAGGAAATTAGATCCCCGGTCATATGCAGATGGCCTCAGAATTATGCGGTTCCAAAGAATTAGAAAATGTATGTTTCCACAAAGTAGGAGATCCTATTCAAAAAGTCTAAAAGACAGCCACATATATGCAATAAATAAAATTCCTATCAGTTAAATAGATATATCTGTGAAAGCTGAAATTCAAAAGCACCTCAGTATACTTCCAGTATATGTGCAGTATTTCCAGATGATTTAAAAACACTTTACTATTAAAAAAAAAATTAAAACAGAAAAGCATAATTTTGCAAAATTTTGATTTTTTTCTACGTATTCTATATATTTCCAAAGACTTTTAGCAAAAAGTAATAAACAAATAAATAAATAAAATTGCTGAATTTACAAGCATATTATGTGATTTTAGATCCTCTATCAGTTCATCACAGAGTTCTTGACATTTTCTGTGGAGATCAGCAGGATGATGGATTTCTCGAAATGTGTGCTCATTTCCAATACTTTTCTGAACGTGATCACTGCAGGGTAGAAAGAGAATTGAATAAGTTACTTTAATTTCACAAAAAAATAAATATTACATATACAGCTTATCCACTTAAATTTCAATTCACAAATTAAAGATTTTATGCAAAATATTATATATTTTTGAGTTTAAAATTAAAATATTAAATGTACGATGTATTTCTGATTGGTCTATCAAGTACACAGATTTTACAATCACATTTATATCAGCATTTGTATACACTACAGATATATTTCTTCATAAAAAATATATTTATATTACATCACATTACTCATTTCATCACTGCTTAAATTATGTCTTTGTTTGCTTTCTTTCTTTACAACATCCTTTTTATGTTAACATGATTTATATGAGGGTGTGCACTTCAAAGAAATCAATTAAAAAATATAACCAATGATGAGAAAGAAAAGGAACAGAAAGTTGCAAGAAATATCATTCAATGTATCCTAACAGCCATTTCTTTTTTAAATATGTGATAAAACATATATATTTTGACAAAAAATACTCTATATATTTCAAACTGCTTTTTTCGTTTCTCTTTAAATTTATTTATTTATTTTTTATTTATTTATTTATTTTTTAAATTTTAACTGAATTGGAAAGAACAGAAAGGGAAGAATCACTGTTTTGAAATTTTAAAAGATAAAGTAAAGGATGAAAAACATTTTAGAATTCATAATTATTTAATACTAATATCTGTAATTTGACATCTCAATAAATGCATACCCCAAAATATGCTAACAAGGGATTCAACTTGATGTAATTCAAAATTTGAAAATGATTAGAGTGGGCTAAAGTTTTTACTGCATTCATACATTTTACCTATATGAAATTGTTTGCAGTTAAAAATAATGGGAGCTTCCTGGAAAGGGAAATATAAAATGTTGCAGATAACATTTTATTTAACAGAATATAAAATACAGAAGCAGAATAACAGATGTTAAAAATTAAGACTTTATCACAATTTTCTGCTAGTCTTTGTCATGCTGAGTCCCTAACTTCTAAAGCAGTCTACTGTTAAAAGTAATTAATTCTAAAGTTGCCATTGCATTTATAAGTAAGTTGCTTAGATTTGGGCTTGCTCTACATAGAAAATCAGCTGCCTGGTGTTATAGGTTTTAAACCTATTTCCTTGTATTCATAAACACTGCTACTAATGCCAAGAATAATCAAGTGATGTTGTGATTTTTATTTTGTCCGGGGAAAACATTGAAAAAATATGTAATGCTTTTATGTTGCTTTCAGCATACTGGGTATAGTATTTTAAGATTATGAAGTACATCTCATTTGCCTTGTTTTCTTTGCTTTCCAAATAAATGTAAAATATAGAATATCCAGCTATTAATCATTATGATGAAAACAAAATTATCTGCTTAGACACAGAGTACTAACATGCCAACAGCAAAGTAATAATGTCAAAGGACAGAAAAAGTATATCTGTCAAGTGTAAAATTTGCATAACTCTATTAAGTTAAAATGTAGAATATAAAGCTTTGCAATTTTAATTGTAGTAACAAGATTGAATAACCTTGTTAGACAAATTTAATGAAATTTTTTTTAACATCATGTGTCAAATTTTATACATCTAACTTATATGAAAATCCTAGTTTACAGAAATGATAATTCAAGACTCTTTTTATCTCCCCTGTTTAATTACTTAAAAGTCCAATCCCTCCCTCCAAAAAATTTTGCTAGAATTGCAAACCATGCTAAATTATTCCATGTTCCTTTTTCAGAAATGAATGCAAATCATTATAATTAATAATAATTTAAAATAATTTAATGATCTTATTAAATGTAAGAAAAATATTTTAATTCAATATAATAAAAAACTACAAGAAACACAGAGATATCTTGTGAAACTGAAATTTCAAACTGAGAAACACATAACTAAAAACAAAAGTTTTAGTGTTTAAATCAGAGCTGCTCAACGGAATTTCCTTTTCTACCATGACAGTTTGCTATGAGTTTTCTGAAAACAATGATAAATAGACTTTTCTTATCTAAATGTAATTTTTGACCACTTTTCTTTAATACTGGACTCTCAATCTTATGAACTCATATGATAAGAGGAGCAGTTAAAAGTTCATAAAATTTAAAATTAATAAACTGAAATCCCAGTAAAAAGTTGATAACCTCATCAGGGTTCATAGCCACATTTTAGTTAAAAAAATAAGCACCTATAAGCACTTTTCAAGCACATTTTAAGAAAAAAAATAAGCACCAGTCTAATTACATTATACACAACTGCATAACCTTAAAAATTAGACTTGTAATTTAAAATATGAGAAATGCAGTATTTATTAAGAGAGAATAAGCTGTGCCGTAATTCTTCCTTACGTGATATTACGCAATCGGAACCAACAGCTGCCAGCATTGGGAGAATAAAGAACTAAATAACTGGGGTGTTTTTCATTCTAATTTTCAACAGACAGCATTAAACTTCCAGAATAGAATCATTCTTCTCATGGGTTGGTAGACTGCAGAACTTTTAGTCCTATTCAATCCAGATTGGAAAGTGAACCCCCCCCCCCCCCCGAAAAAAAAAAGGTCCGTTGCTGCTTGTTTTGCAGCAAACTGTAACAGTTTCAATATTCGAGATTTTGCAGAGAAAGAGGGGAACCTCCCAATCTTCGTACTGTATAATCTATTGGCCAAAAAAAATAAAATTACTTTGACTATTTCGATTACTTCCCCTTTATTTAAGCCATTCCAAATATTATTCTTTAGAAAGCTAATCTGTGTTAAAACACAACCCATTTTTGGAAGTTTTTACTATACTTCAGCAGTTACTGCAACTATATTATTATAAACATTCATACATATGCTCATAATATAAGCATGACGATCATAATAAACACGAATATGAACTGACCAAGCGGAACGAGAATTTAAATTATGTAAAATCTTGATAGAAATTCAAACGTGTGTAGTAGTATTTGGGGTGGGAGGAAAAGAATGCCGAATGTACCGGAATTTTCTACTGCTTTCGCATTTCTTTGACCAATAGAACGACTGGCTCCTGTCTATACTCTTCGTACACACCAAAGGTTACGTTAATGCAGAGAAAGGGGAAAAGCTATTTCTGGGAGTATGATTCACCATCTGACATTCCATACTAGGAAGAAAAGTTGTTTATTTAGTTTCGGCTTTGGTACTGGAAAAAATAGCACGTTCATTAGAAGAAAAAAAAAAAAAAAACACTAAAAACAAAAAAATAAGGGCTTTAAAGAAAAAGTAAGCACCTATAAGGGCCTTTATATTTTATTTTCAAACATAAGGACTTATAAGCACTTATAAGGACCGCTACGAACCCTGCTCATCAAAGTCATGGTTCATAAACATATGCAATTCTTAAATTAGAGGTTCACAAAAAGGCGATTTTTAGCATGCTTATATTATATTGAAGGTAAATATTAATTTCATAGTTATGCTATTTTTATACATAGTTCATTTTACATATTCGATAATTTTGCACCAACCTTTTAACTACTGTGCTCCCAATACCCAAAGCAACTCTAATATAAAAATCAACAGAAGTCTCCGAAAAAAGTAAATCAAGAAGATCACGTTTCTCCCACATATCAGAGCAAGTGTGAATGCCAATAGCATTTAAAATTTGTCCTTGCACTGGTCCAATACCAGAGACCTAAAAAGAATGATCAAGAATTTCAACTATTAACAAACAACTTTAAACAAACAATTTTAAATAATACATCATAATAAAAAAAAATAAACATTGAAAAAAATATAAACATCAAATGGTACCTTTTTTACAGGTAAAGTAGCTATGAATGACATTACAGCATCCACTGTAGAAACTATCTGATACTGCCCATTTGGTTTATTTTGATCAGAACATACCTTAGCTAACATGGTATTTGGTGCAATTCCTAGATGGGGGGAAAAAAAAAAAAAAATAAGCTAACAATACATGCAAACATGGTTTAGATAAGTTTATTTTCATTAGATGCAACTATATTATTATAAATATTAATGCATATACTCATAATATAAGCATAACGATCATAATAAACATGAATATGAACTGACCACGCGGAACGAGAATGCAAATTATTAAAATCTTGATAGAAATTCAAACGTGTGTAGTATTTGGGTGGGAGGAAAAGAATACCGAATGTAACGGAATTTTCTATCAAGGATCAAGGAAGTTAATTTACAGAGTGCGCTAGGCTAGGCCTTTAACTTCACATCATCAGAGATAGAATAATTACATCAAAAGAGGGGTTCATCTAATAAGGGAAAATTTTGAAGCCTAATTATAAAAATAAAAGCTTTTCAGATAATGCCTTCCGCATGAGAAAAAAGGAAACTTTAGAAAGTCTTTAAATTAAATTTTGTGTTCAAAAAGGGCCAGGAATAAATTTGAGAGAGGAGTCAACATTCAAAAAGTTTTGAAAAGAATAAAAAGGTGCAATACATTTCCTTGATTCTGATATCAACAGCAAAATAAAATCCTTAGGACAAGCAATCCGGAGAGTTGGGCAAAAAGGGCTGGGGGCGAAACCTGTTGGGCGGGTTCTAGTAGCAGTTCAGTGTTATACACTGAAGGAGGAGAAGAAAATTATTGGTCGCTATTTAGCAGGACTTAGAAGAGAAGGGCTAGCTCATAGAGCTTTTCCAGTACCTCCTATAAACTCCTATATAGGAGGTACTGGCTTTTCCCCCTGAAGCAGAAAGTGAGAAGTGATGATGTAGCCATGATGACACTGAGCGCGCCAATATAATTCACAGCTTGGAAATTAGCGTTTTTCAACCAGCATTTAAAATGAGCTGTGTGTGAAAGATAGCTATAATTTGTAAGAGGCAATGTTACTGCTTTATGCATTTTAGACTGAACCATTAAAAAATTTAATAATGCTTACTCAATTTTAAAATAATAGATAAAATGTGCTACTCTTTTAACATAAAGTTCCGTGGTTTTTTTATTTTTTTTTGCATGTTTTTTTATTTAATGCACGTTTATTTCTAATCATTTCTTTAATTGCATGCTAACTGAGAGAATTTTTATACTGCTTCTAAGATAACTATAATAGCAGCTATTTAAATTTACTCAAAAAACAACTTTACATTGACATAAGTTTAAACATATATGGCATATATGGCAACATTTCTGCTAACCTACGTTTGATTTTTTGCCTAATTGTAAATTTTACATTGTTATAATTCTCTTAATAGATTTTTTTAAATAATTTTTTGTAATTTATACTTATATCTATATTACAATTAAATGAATGTATATAAGATTGTTACCTTAATTTTGACAAAATAGCTTTATTCAGAGTACCTAAAACAGTTATTTTAATTTTTCAAAAGTGTGAGTAAAGGAAGCAGGTTTTTATGCCAATTACTTTGATGTTTTATACTATTATATTTTATCTAGAATGCTAATCTAGCACAAAACCTAATCAATAATTAGTTACGAAGGATACAATAAGAATAACTTTAACAAGTAACAAAATTAGTTTGTTATATACTTGTTATTCTTGTTGGTACTATTCATAATACCAAAGATATTATCGATTAACTCATAGAAGTCAGATGCTTTCTGATTTCCTGTGGGGTAGAGTATACCTTTTGCGGTACTTTTTGAAAATAATGTCTTCTCTGGAGCGACTTTTTGTTTCTCGTTTCCCTTGACCATTAAATAATTTGGTTTTAGGTTGTGACACAATTTGATTTCTTCTCAATCTCTATTTAAAACCTCTTTAATAATATCAAAATTTAAAACAGTTACATCTTCTAAAACAAATCCTCTATCTAAAACGCGGTTTTCTCAGTAATTTGAGGCTGACGCGAAATGAACCTCTGATTAAAACAAACTGCACATTTTTTAAAAGGAACCAACTTAGCCAATTTAGAGCATAGCAGAGTTTTCAATCTATATGCTTTCGTCGAACTGAGAATGCATATTTTTTCTACAGAATACAAATATTCGCCTCTTTCCTTCTTTAAGTAAGAACATTACTTTGAATTCTTGGACTACACTAAGATTTAGAAAACACTAAAAATAAAATAAACAACCATTTCTTTAATTTCATAATACTAGGTAAAGATATTCCATTTTTTCCTTAATTTTTTTTCTTTCCAAAAATCATAGCTTAAGAATGACAGAGCTCTTATGACAATGCAACGTGAAATATTTTCACTAGTTCCACCTGATTTTTTTCTTCTTTTTCAGTAATGCATTAATCTAAGTCTTTATAAAAATAGGCTTTAGAAATTTTTCCAAATTTTCCAATTTGTGCTCCCCCCCCCCCCCAAATTTCGCTATTTGATATTTTAATTTCTGATACCAATTTCTGTCAAGATGTCGTCCACCTTCTTTGTCGCTGAACAAACATTCTAAAATTTTTCTTTTCACTATTTTTCAATACTTTAATACAATTTTCTAAGGATATTATTTTGTTCTTCAATTATCAATGCATTCTTGTTTATCCTTAAACATTCAGGATCTACATTTCATTTGTGAGTTTTATTTCAAAATCATTAAAATTTGATTTATTATTGTCATCATCAATTTCGATTTATTATTGTCATCATAATTTACTTTTGTCACAGCATTCCATTTCAACAATTTCTTTTTGTGGCTATCTAAACAAGCGATTTTTCATATCATCTTCATAAACACTGCATAGAAAATGTTCGCTGCAGATTTTTCCGCTCTTCGCATTAATAGAATCTTCTCTTGGACATTTGTGTATCCATTCTTTCGTCAAAAGTAAACTCTCATTTGGATCCTTTGGTCCCATGAAATAAAATATCTCATCCTTTCATATTTCTGTAAGTGCTACGGCACGTTACTGCAGTGTAAAACACCATATTATGTAAACGATACTTTACAATATAAAATTTAAAATAAAAACTGACTAAATTACATATATAAAATTCTTTTAAATATACATTATTAGAAAACAGATATATATATTATTAAAATTAATTTGGGATGTGTAACCTCTAGAAAATCGTCTCCCCGCTCAATGAAACACTGTTTTAAACGCGGGAAATCAGGACAGGTGGCATCACAGTGACGTCAGATTATGCCTTTATGTCCCCCATTAGGCTCACGTCGGCGAGGAGTCGAACAAAGAAATGAGCCAGCCCTTCTATTTATCCCGGCTATTTAGCGATGTTAAAAGTACTCTTAGGGCAGTGTTCTTAACCTTGAGCCGCGACCAATTTGAGAAAATGTTTATGTCGTGACCCAAAAAAGTCAATATTTTTTCATTGCTTATTTAGAGCATATTTGTAAAACCTTTATCTTACAATGATGACTTATTTAACTTCAAATTTTTTTTTTTTTTTAATAATAAAGTTAAACAAAAGTACTTTGATCAAAGAAAATTTAATAAATCAAGTGTTTTTAATATTTTATTGACCAAACTAAATAAATTTAAAACTTTTTAAAAATAATTGAAATTTCATCTTATAATACTTTATATGCTTTTAATGAGAACCTTGTGCTTGAATACATTTTGAAAGATCTGCAAACCTGGGTGAATGCTTTCAGGAGCACCTAAATCTATTTCTGGATTTAACTTGTTCCGGTGGTTAATTTGATACAAGAGAGCCGAAAAGCACCTCACACATATATGTTGTTGAAAAGGGCAATAATACTTTAGGGCTTCTTTAAAATTATTGGCTTTTCTTTTTTAGATTTAACCAGAAAGCACATAAAGATTGAGTGTTTTGTAAAATTGTATCGAGTGCTTGTCACTTTGAATTTCTATTAGTTCTTGAAATTGATTAATATTTAACAAATTCCTCATGAAATCACTTACGTCAAATCAAATGCATTCAAACCCATTATAATAAAAACTGGTCTGCAGGAAAATACCGCTCAAAGTCTGCTATTAGTTTTTCTAAATGATTGATAATAATTTCTGTATTTAAAAATCTGTGATATTAAATTCTTGTCTTCAACAAGTAAATTAAGAGTTGGAAATGAGCAGTTTCTTTACTTAACCTTATTTTCCATAATTATTTTTTAAACATGTAATTTTCAGTTAATTCAATAATAGTATGTTACGTCTTGCATAGAGTATTTAGATTATTTATTCAAACAAATACAGTCAAAAGTCTTTAATCCGGACTCGTCGGGCTTCGACGTCCGGATTATCGATTTTTCCGGATTATAGATCATCAGTTTAAATCTGGTAAGATGGCATGAGAAATTATAAAATTAAAAATGAAACCGTAATTTATAAAAATGCAATTATGATCTAAAGGGTATCAAAATTTACAAAAAAGAAGCTTAATATTTTATTGTTTTACTTTATTAAAACATTTCTTTCCGCGCATGCATAAAGCATACATTACGTAGTCGAAATTAGAAAATAGCAACCAGTAAATTTTTGATTTGTATCGTGATATTTATAATGACAAGAATTTGATTTAAATCATATCAAAGACAGAGTTTAGATTAAACTACACTGAGTAAGCAATTATAAGCTGAATAAATAAAAACATTGCCTGAAGATAACGATAGTGGTGACAGATCAACTCCAGTCATTGCGCTCCGCGACGTCCCCCCCCCCGCCGCAGAGCGCGTGAAATTGATAAGATTTCGGAACGGTTAGAGAAACAAAGGATATACCTTTATCCATTTTTTGTAGCAATTTTTTGTTGTTTGATGGCATCGAATAATACTTTCGTTTTCCAATCCTTGGGAGCTCAGCATCGGAAAATCTATTTAACATAATCGAAAGTAGCTTACTTTTATAAAATGCTCTTACAGTCTGCAAAAATAATAAGCCGATCCCAATTGAAGATTAAGGAAAACCAACATCAACTTAACTGAATAATAATTAGATAATTTTAGTTATACCGTTCGCTAACAAAACGGCACGTCGAATGTTTCTGCACTTG